TTCACCCCAAAACTTCCCTTTAAAATTTCACCTCAGAATTTCCCCTCAAAATTTTACCCCAAAACTTCCCTTTAAAATTTTACCTCAGGATTTCACCTCAGGATTTCACCTCAGGATTTCACCTCAGAATTTCACCTCAAAACTTTACTTTAAAATTTCACCTCAGGATTTCACCTCAAAATTTCACCTCAAAATTTTACCCCAAAACTTCCCTTTAAAATTTCACCTCAGAATTTCACCCCAAACTTCCCTTTAAAATTTCACCTCCAAATTTTACCTCAGAATTTCACCCCAAAACTTCCCTTTAAAATTTCACCTCCAAATTTTACCTCAGAATTTCAACCCAAAAGTTTCCTTTAAAATTTCACCTCAAACTTTTACCCCAAAACTTCCCTTTAAAATTTCACCTCAGAATTTCACCTCAGAATTTCACCCCAAAACTTCCCTTTAAAATTTTACCTCAGGATTTCACCTCAGGATTTCACCTCAGGATTTCACCTCAGAATTTCACCTCAAAACTTTACTTTAAAATTTCACCTCAGGATTTCACCTCAAAATTTCACCTCAAAATTTTACCCCAAAACTTCCCTTTAAAATTTCACCTCAGAATTTCACTCCAAACTTCCCTTTAAAATTTCACCTCCAAATTTCACCTCAGAATTTCACCCCAAACTTCCCTTTAAAATTTCACCTCCAAATTTCACCTCAGAATTTCACCCCCAAAACTTCCCTTTAAAATTTCACCTCCAAATTTTACCTCAGAATTTCAACCCAAAAGTTTCCTTTAAAATTTCACCTCAGAATTTCACCCCAAACCTTCCCTTTAAAATTTCACCTCCAAATTTTACCTCAGAATTTCACCCCAAACCTTCCCTTTAAAATTTCACCTCAGGATTTCCCCTTCAAAACTTCCCTTTAAAATTTCACCTCAGAATTTCACCCCAAAACTTCCCTTTAAAATTTTACCTCAGAATTTCACCTCAAAATTTCAACTCAAAATTTTACCTCAGAATTTCGCCTCCAAATTTCACCTCAGAATTTCACCCCAAAACTTCCCTTTAAAATTTCACCTCAAAATTTCACCTCAAACTTTTACCCCAAAACTTCCCTTTAAAATTTCACCTCCAAATTTTACCTCAGAATTTCACCCCCAAAACTTCCCTTTAAAATTTCACCTCAGGATTTCACCTCAGAATTTTACCTCAAAACTTTACTTTAAAATTTCACCTCAGAATTTCACCTCAAAATTTCACCTCAGAATTTCACCCCAAAACTTCCCTTTAAAATTTTACCTCAAAATTTCACCTCCAAATTTCACCTCAGAATTTCCCTCGAAATTTCAACCGATTCCTTCCAGAAAGCTTCGATAATTCTGAGAAATTCCCATTTTTTCTCACCCATCTTTGGTGCAAATCCCCCCTTTTCCCGAGGGATTTCCTCTCCTTGTCCCCCGGGGGGTTTTTCCCGATGTTTTCCGTGTTTTCCATCATCCCATGGGCTCAGGTGAAGATTTTGATTAAAAAAATCTCTTTTTTTGGGTGTTTTTTGAAGCTGTTGCAGCCCCGGAGGGAGGGAATCCTTGACCTGCTGAATAATTCCCGATCCCTAAAAAAATTCCTGGAGGGAAAGGCCTGGCTGGGAGAAAGGTTTGGCTTTTTCCACCGAGGAGAAAAAAGTGGGAATGTTTTCATTTTGGATGGGATGCTCCTGTTCCCTGAAAACTCCGGAAAAATCCCTTGGGAATCTGCGGGGGAGTTGGGAATGTTGGGATGGGAGGGTTGGAGCTGGAGTGGAAAACTGATTTCCCTTTTTGGGCTTGGAATCTTGGAATGGTTTGGGCGGGAAGGGAATCTCAAAGCTCATCCTGATTTCAATCCCCTATCCCGGGTTGTTCCAAGGGATTCCAGCCCGGCCTGGGACATTCCCAGGGATCCAGGGACAGCCACAGCTTCCCTGGGAATTCCAGCCCAGCCGGGAATCCCTTCCCTGGATCCCATCTAACCCCACCCTGCAGCTCCCATTTTTAGGGAAAGGGACCTTTGGGAATGGAAACCTCGACAGGCTCCGGGAATGCCGGATCCGCAGGGTGGGATAACTGATGTCAGAACTTCTGGAGTCATCCCCAAAAAATTCCCGAAAAATCGCGTTTTCCTGTAGGAATCCCTTGGTTTTGAATCCAAGCCTTTTCTTCCCCCTTCCCAGCTCTTGGATGGAGTCGTTATCCCAGCTCTGGGATGGGACACTTTGGAATGGGAAGGGTCGAGTTGGGTCCAAAAGTTCCGCCCTCAGATCCCGGATTTTAAGCCCGGAGGGTTCCTGACTCCCCATGGAGTCGCTCCCAATCCCCTGCCATGGAATTCCCAGGGAAGCTGTGGCTGCCCCTGGATCCCTGCAGTGTCCCAGGCCGGGCTGGATCCCCTGGGATAGCGGGAATTGTCCCTGAACATGGAATGGGATCATCCTGAAAATCCCTTCCCACCCAAACCCATTCCAGCATAAAGGACACTCAGGACCCACCCAGAGGGATTTTTATGGAATGTGGGGATGGCAAAGGCGGGAAAGGGGAAGGGAGACCCTTCCCTGAGTGCCGAGATTCCCAGGGAACCCCCCCTTGTTCCCGGAACTCCTTCCCAGAGAGGAGTTGGGCTGGGCATGGATCCAATGTCAGGCTCTGGATCCAGGCTGGGAGAGCTGGGAATGGCCAGGCTGGAGCAGGGAAGGATCCAGGGAGAGCTGGGAGCCCCTTCCAGAGCCTGGGACACCAGGGATCCAGGGGCAGCCACAGCTTCCCTGGGAATTCCAGCCCAGCTGGGAATCCCTTCCCAATCCCCAACTCCAAGTTTTTTTTTCCCTCCCCCAGCAGAAAAATCTCCCAATTTTTTTGCCCCCCCCCAACCCCCTGGAGAAATCCCTGGAATTCTTTGGGAATCCAGGAGAGAGAAAGCTCCAGAAAACAATTCCTGGGAGCCTTTTCCAGGCGTAGAAATCCCAGAGAATTCCCCACAAACCCCTCAAATGACCGGATTGAGCTTCGAGTCGGGGTAAATCCAGGTGGGAAAAGTGTGGGAAAATCCCCCTCCAATATCCAGGGAAAGGCTTGGAAAAGGGGGCTTTGGAAAAATCCCTCGTCCTTCCCGAGCCACGGGGAGGTAACCATGGAAATGGGATATTTAAAGCTCCGATTCCAAAGGGTTTTTTTGTTCCAACTCCAGCTCCGATGGGGGGTTGTTTGTCCCGATTTTTTATGGAATTTCGGGATCTGGGGTGGCAGGGAAGGGGTTGCCATCCTGGAAAGGCTGTTCTGTGCCCAGGGGTGTTTTTTGGGAATGCTGGGCCTGTGGTGGGGGGATGAGGGGGGGTTGATCCCGTTGATCCCAAGGCATTCCAAGAGCTGGGAAAACCCGGAATGGCTTTGAGGTCTGGTGTGTGGAAAGCTGGGAATGCTGAGAATTCCTGGGAATGTTGAACCCAGGCTGGCTTAAACCCTGATCCCACCTTGGATGGCTGGGATTTATGGGATGGCTGGGATTTATAGGATTTCTAGGATTTATGGGATTTCTGGGATTTATAGGATTTTGGGATTTCTGGGATTGCTGGGATTTTTAGGATGGCTGGGATTTATAGGATTTCTGGGCTTTATGGGATTTCTGGGATTTATAGGATTGCTGAAATTTATAGGATTTCTGGGATTTATAGGATTTATAGGATTTCTGGGATTTATGGGATTGCTGGGATTTATTTTTCCTAAGAAACCCCTCCCCCAATTTCCTGCAGGAGCCAAACCTCTGGATTTTCCAGCTCTTGGGAATGCTGGGCCCTCCCTTTCCCAGCTTTTCCTGGATCCCATGGGAAGGTTTTTCCATCCCTAATTCCTGCAGAATCCAAAAACTGGGAATCTGGGAAGTTCTCCCAGATTCCCAATTGTCCCTCCTGCTGGATCCAGGTGTTTTCCATCTCCTTTGAGGCGTTTTTTCCCGGCTGGAATTTCGGGATAATCTGGGTGGGGAGGAAAGGACAGGGATGCGATTCCTGCTGGGAACAGGAACGGGAAAACAGGGTTGGAAAATCCCCTTCTTTACCTCGGGATGGGGTGGGAATTGGGGAGGAGGAGCTGATGGATTTGGGGAACTCTTGGATAACATTCCTGTGGGCTCCAAGATCCCTGGATATTCCAAGTTCCCTGGGAGAGCGGGATGAGCTCTGAGGTCCCTTCCCAGCCGGAGCATCCCGGGATTCCCGGGAAAACGGAGCAGTGGGAGGGGTTTTCTTTCTTCCTGGATTTGCGACGTTCCCTCCCCTCTGGATGTGCTTCCAGGAGCAATCTGGGATGGAATTCCCGTGGATGCTGGGGCTGAGATCCCGCTTTTCCTCTCTGTGCTCCCTTTCCCGATGCCTGAACGGAGCGGGATTGGGATGATCCTGAAAATCCCTTCCCACCCAAACCAGTCTGGGATTCCAGGATAAAGGACACTCAGGATCCACCCAGAGGGGTTTTTATGGAATGTGGGGATGGAAAAGGCGGGAAAGGGGAAGGGAGACCCTTCCCTGAGTGCTGAGATTCCCAGGGAACCCCCCCTTGTTCCCGGAACTCCTTCCCAGAGAGGAGTTGGGCTGGGCATGGATCCAATGTCAGGCTCTGGATCCAGGCTGGGAGAGCTGGGAATGGCCAGGCTGGAGCAGGGAAGGATCCAGGGAGAGCTGGGAGCCCCTTCCAGAGCCTGCAGGGGCTCCAGGAGAGCTGGAGAGGGATTTGGGATCAGGGCCTGGAATGGCAGGACACAGGGAATGGCTTCCCACTGGGAAAGGGGAGATTGGGGTGGGAGACTGGGAAGGGATTCCCGGCTGGGCTGGAATTCCCAGGGAAGCTGTGGCTGCCCCTGGATCCCTGCAGTGTCCCAGGCCGGGTTGGATCCCCTGGGATAGCGGGAATTGTCCCTGGACATGGAATGGGATGATCCCTAAAATCCCCTCCCACCCCCATTCCCTTCCCCTCCCCCCAGGTCGGTGCCGGTGCCGTCTCCGTGTCCATGTGAGGATTCCCTGGAAGGGCCGATGCTTCCCGAGGCTTTGGGATCCCCCTCCCCTGCCATTCCACCAGCTGAAGATTCCCGGATTTTCCCATGAACCATCTCCCACCTCGGGAAAACAGAGGTAAGGCCCCCCCTCTGCTCCTTCTTTTCCTTGGAATGTGGCCCTGCTGGAAAACTTCCCGGCCTGGAATTTTTTCCCTCAGGGTGGAATTCCCGGGGTTTTCCCGGCCCTGGGCATCCCTGGGATTTGCTCCTTCCATGGAGGAATTCTCGGGGCTGGAGAGAGGATATCCTTGGGAATTCCCGGTGGGAGAGGGGAGGGAATTCCCGTGGAAATTCCCAGTTCCTGGCCGGCATTCCCGGGAGGAAAACTCGCCCCTCCGGCTGCTGCTGTGGGGAATTCCCGTGGGTGGCATCCCAAATTATTCCCACTTGGGAATTCTCCTGGGAATTGCTGCTTTCCCGGGAACGTTGGGATGGTTTGGGAAGGGCTTGGAATTCCGGAGTCCCCCATTCCAAGGTGGGGGAGCCCATCCCCCTTTTTTTCCCTGATCCCTCTGGGTAATTTCCCTGGGAAGCTTGGGAATTGTTCTCTCTGCGACATTCCAAGGGTTTTCTGGGAGTCTCCCAGATCTGGGATGGGGGGGAGAGGAAAATCCTGGAATTCAGGGAACAAGAAGGTTCCCTGGGAATCTCAGGAAGAGTGGCTGGGAATGTCCAGGATGTATTTGGGAATGTCCAGGAGTGGGTTGGGAATGTCCAGGATTGGGTTGGGAATGCCCAGGATTGGGTTGGGAATGTCCAAGACCGGGAGGGAATGTCCAGGAGTGGTTTGGGAATACCCAGGAGTGGTTTGGGAATGTCCAGGAGTGGGTTGGGAATGTCCAGGATTTATTTGGGAATGCCCAGGATTGAGCTGGGAATGTCCAAGACTGGGAGGGAATATCCAGGATTTATTTGAGAATGCCCAGGATTGGGCTGGGAATGTCCAGGATTGGTCTGGGAATGTTCAGGAGTGGATTGGGAATGTCCAAGAGTAGTTTGGGAATGTCCAGGATTGGGCTGGGAATGTCCAGGAGTGGCTGGGAATTCCCAGGAGTGGCTGGGAATGTCCAGGATTGGGCTGGGAATGTCCAAGACCGGGAGGGAATGTCCAGGAGTGCCTGGGAATGTCCAGGAGTGGTTTGGGAATACCCAGGAGTGGTTTGGGAATGTCCAGGAGTGGATTGGGAATGTCCAGGATTGGGCTGGGAATGTCCAGGAGTGGTTTGGGAATGTCCAAGAGTAGTTTGGGAATGTCCAGGATTGGGTTGGGAATGTCCAGGATTTATTTGGGAATGTCCAGGATTGGGTTGGGAATGCCCAGGAGTGGCTGGGAATGTCCAGGAGTGGCTGGGAATGTCCAGGGTTGGGCTGGGAATGTCCAGGAGTGGCTGGGAATGCCCAGGATTGGGCTGGGAATGTCCAGGAGTGGATTGGGAATGTCCAGGATTGGGCTGGGAATGTCCAGGAGTGGGTTGGGAATGTCCAGGAGTGCCTGGGAATATCCAGGAGTGGTTTGGGAATGTCCAGGATTTATTTGGGAATGTCCAGGATTGGGTTGGGAATGTCCAGGATTGGGTTGGGAATGTCCAGGAGTGGCTGGGAATGTCCAGGAGTGGTTTGGGAATGTCCAGGAGTGGCTGGGAATTCCCAGGAGTGGCTGGGAATGTCCAGGGTTGGGCTGGGAATGTCCAGGAGTGGCTGGGAATTCCCAGGAGTGGCTGGGAATGTCCAGGGTTGGGCTGGGAATGCCCAGGAGTGGCTGGGAATGTCCAAGACCGGGAGGAAATGTCCAGGATTGGGCTGGGAATGTCCAAGAGTGGTTTGGGAATGCCCAGGATTGGGCTGGGAATGTCCGGGAGTGGCTGGGAATGCCCAGGAGTGGCTGGGAATGTCCAGGAGTGGATTGGGAATGCCCAGGAGTGGATTGGGAATACCCAGGATTGGGCTGGGAATGCCCAGGAGTGGTTTGGGAATGTCCAGGAGTGGATTGGGAATACCCAGGAGTGGCTGGGAATGTCCAGGATTTATTTGGGAATGTCCAGGAGTGGTTTGGGAATGTCCAGGAGTGGGTTGGGAATGCCCAGGAGTGGCTGGGAATGTCCAGGAGTGGTTTGGGAATGTCCAGGAGTGGGTTGGGAATGTCCAGGATTTATTTGGGAATGTCCAGGAGTGGATTGGGAATGTCCAGGAGTAGTTTGGGAATGTCCAGGAGTGGGCTGGGAATGTCCAGGATTTATTTGGGAATGTCCAGGAGTGGATTGGGAATGTCCAGGAGTGGGCTGGGAATGTCCAGGATTTATTTGGGAATGTCCAGGATTGGGTTGGGAATGTCCAGGATTGGGCTGGGAATGTCCAGGATTTATTTGGGAATGTCCAGGAGTGGGTTGGGAATGTCCAGGATTTATTTGGGAATGTCCAGGATTGGGCTGGGAGTGTCCAGGAGTGGGTTGGGAATGTCCAAGACCGGGAGGGAATGCCCAGGATTGGGCTGGGAATGCCCAGGATTGGGCTGGGAATGTCCAAGAGTGGTTTGGGAATGCCCAGGATTGGGCTGGGAATGCCCAGGATTGGGTTGGGAATGTCCAGGAGTGGTTTGGGAATGCCCAGGATTGGGCTGGGAATGTCCAGGAGTGGCTGGGAATGTCCAGGATTGGGCTGGGAATGTCCAGGAGTGGTTTGGGAATGCCCAGGATTGGGCTGGGAATGTCCAGGATTTATTTGGGAATGTCCAGGATTGGGCTGGGAGTGTCCAGGAGTGGTTTGGGAATGCCCAGGATTGCTTTGGGAATGCCCAGGATTGGGCTGGGAATGGACTTGGAGCAGGTGGAATTTCATCCAGCTTCCCACAAATCCTTCCTTCCCTTCTCCTCCTCCCCCTTTCTCCTCCCGGCGATCCCCCGGGCTCCAGGTGGAGCTTTGGGAATTCGGGATCGGGGGATGATGCAACAGGGCAGGACTTTTGTCTTGGGTTTTTATTTCCCCTCCCTTCTTTTTCCCCTCCCCTCTGGATTGGTCCGAAATTCCCAGCTGGGAAAACAAAGGGGGAGGGGTTTGGAAAAACCTCAGCCCTGCCCAGGCAGAGGGAACAGGAGCTTTCCAGGGCTGACATTCCCGGGATTTTGGCCCCCCCTGTTCCCGGGGCTGGGAAAGGGGGGGGACTCTCCAAGCCTTGGGGTTCATCCCTTCTCCTGCTTTTCCCTTGGAACCTCTGGAATTGGGGGGCAGGGAAGGCACAGCCCTCAGGAAGAGCCAGGTAAGCCTGGAATTGTCCTGGAATTGTTCCCCCCACCCCCCAGCTTGGCCTGGAATCCTTGGAAGTTGTTCCCTGTTCCCAGGAAAGTTGTTCCTGGTCTGTAACTAGAGTTTAATTCCTGGGATGGACTCGGAGCCAGGTTGGGATGGGCCTTGGATCCACCTGGGATAGCGGGAGGTGTCCCTGAACATGGAATGGGATGATCCTGAAAATCCCTTCCCACCCAACCCATTCCATGAATCCAGGCTAAAGGACACTCAGGATCCAGTCAGAGGGGTTTTTATGGAATGTGGGGATGGAAAAGGCGGGAAAGGGGAAGGGAGACCCTTCCCTGAGTGCCGAGATTCCCAGGGAACCCCCCCTTGTTCCCGGAACTCCTTCCCAGAGAGGAGTTGGGCTGGGCATGGATCCAATGTCAGGCTCTGGATCCAGGCTGGGAGAGCTGGGAATGGCCAGGCTGGAGCAGGGAAGGATCCAGGGAGAGCTGGGAGCCCCTTCCAGAGCCTGCAGGGGCTCCAGGAGAGCTGGAGAGGGATTTGGGATCAGGGCCTGGAATGGCAGGACACAGGGAATGGCTTCCCACTGGGAAAGGGGAGATTGGGGTGGGAGATTGGGAAGGGATTCCCGGCTGGGCTGGAATTCCCAGGGAAGCTGTGGCTGCCCCTGGATCCCTGGGGTGTCCCAGGAAAGGTTGGATCCCCTGGGACAGCGGGAGGTGCCGGGTTTGGATTGGGATGATCTTTAAGATCCCTTCCCAGCACCCCATTCCCTGATCCCACAAAATCCCTGGACCCGCTGCAGGACCTGTGGGTGACCCTTTGGAACATTCCCGACCTTCATTCCCTTCATTTTTATCCATTTTCCTGAAGTTTTTGTCTCATTTTCCCCCCTTTCCTCCTCCTCCCTTTGGGATCCACTCCCTGCTTTGGCCACATCCCGATTGGACACCCTTGGGAATTTGGGATGGTCGGAAAATCCAACCCCTCCTCTTTTTCCCTGGAGCTCAGCTGGGCCCGGGCAGGTGAGGAGGTGCTGATTGCAATTAGTGTAAATGAGCCTAACGAGCTGCTCATGCCCCCCCTCCCCCCTCCTGGAGCCCAGCTGGGATTCAGGGAGAGCTTGGAAAAGCCACGGAGCGGATTTTCCCGGGATCTGCTCGGGATTTCCCCCCTCAGCTGGAAGAGGTTCCGGTGTTGTGGTTGATGGTTGGTTATTCCCGAGCCTTTCCCAGCTTTTCCCACCCCTTTGGATAACGAGTTGGCTGCTGGAATCATCCCTGGGATGAAGGGAATGGGGGTTGTGTGTCGGGAACACGACAGGGATGATGGGAATGTCGGAATTCCCGCCTTTCCTCTGGATTGGCACTTTCCTAAGGATGATCCCCGCTCCAGAGGATTTATGGATTGATGTTCCCCTTTCCCACCCCTTTGGATAACGAGTTGGCTGCTGGAATCGTCCCTGGGATGAAGGGAATGGGGGTTGTGTGTCGGGAACACGACAGGGATGATGGGAATGTCGGAATTCCCGCTTTTCCTCTGGATCAGAAGGGATGGTCCCTGCTCCACAGGACATGGATTGAGGGCTCCCGTGGGAAGGTGTCGCTTCCCCCTGTCGGGAGATGAGTCAGCTCGTCAGCTCTAATTAAAGGCTGGGCTTTAATTAGGGGGGGAGGTGGATGAGTCAGAGGAGCCAGGGGGAGGTGGAGGAGAAGGAAACCCACCTGGATCCATCCCGGGTTTCCTTCCCAGAGGAGTCCCCATTCCATAGGGAAGGCTCCTGGTGGACGTCCCTGCATCCCTGTGCTCCCTAATTAATGCCCAGGG